GGCCGTGCGAGGCAGAGCAGAAGAAAACAATCACGAATGAGAGGCATGGACCTTCAGGTTCTTCCCAGCCTCGCACAGTCAATCTGCCGGCACCCGCCCGGCATTTCCGGTGAATTTCTCTGGGCCCACGCTACCAGCTTCTGAGCTTTGAAGTCTCACGAGCATGCTTAAATTTCAAGAGGCTCCAGTCAACATTTGCCGTTCATGCATTTCCGTTCCAAGATGTTCCAAGAATTGATGTGCAGAAGCCCCGAACGGAAGTGATGGCATACGTTCCGATTGATTTAGATGTCCCTGTCGAGTCATTGCCAGTGCCATTGGTGTCGCCATTCCGCAAACACTCCGGACCACCGTTAGATTTCCCAGAGACTCCAATATCCCTTAATTAAGGAATATTCTTTAAATTATAGTAGGATCCTTAATATGATTTAAGGAATATTCCTTAATCACGGGATATTGGAGTCTCTGGGTTCCCAAGGTGTGCAGCCACATCAGCAACCTCTTCGAGGTGGGTTGCGAGGGAAACTTGAGCTTCTGCTGCTTTCAGATTGGGGGTTCCGGTTGAGCATGTCCCCACTTGGTTTTGGGTCTTATATATATATATATATGTATATATATATATATATATAGAGAGAGGTTTTGGGCCTTGAGGCTGTTTTTTGTAGTTGCGTTTGTTTCGGTCATTTGGGAAGGACGGTGCTGGAGGCTTACGGCTTTCAGATCCCAGGTGCACGAAGTCGGCACGCCTACAGCCCGACCCCAAATCCCCAGAGACTCCAACATCCCTTAATTAAGGAATATACCTTAAATCATAGTAGGAGCCTTAATATGATTTAAAGAATATTCCTTAGTTAAGGGATATTGGAGTCTCGGGGTCCTGCATCTTCGGCCAGGGCGTGGCACACAAGTTCGAGTACAAGATGCGCCTCGTCTATGCGCACTTCCCCATCAACGCCAACATCATCAACGGTGGCAAGGCGGGAACGTCCCCCCGTTCTTCCAGAGCTTAGCTGCCAGCATCTGAAGGACTTTCGGCTTTGGGGCTTACGACTTGGGGTTAGGATCCGAGGCTCTTCGGTGGCATGCAGAGTCTAGAGGGTCTGGGTGTGGAGCTGAGGGTACCCAGAGACTCCAATATCCCTTAATTAAGGAATATACCTTAAATCATATTCAGGATCCTGCTATAATTTAAGGAATATTCCTTAATTAAGGGATAATGGAGTCTCTGGGTACGTAGTTTCTTGAAGGATCCTGACGTCTTGCAGGCAAAGCCCGAGACCAAACTGGGTGTCAAGCCTGTCGGCCGTCACGAAAACACACATCCTTCTCAGCACTAGCCCCCAAAGCCCCATGGCCCTAGATTCTAGACCCTAGACCCTGAACCTTAAAGCCGGCAGCCCCTAAAAGGCGGGGGGCTCGTGACAGGACCCGGGTCTCCGAGTCGAAAGGGCACCGTTGGTAGTATAGGGGCTTAAATAATTACCAAAACTGTTTTGGGTGTAGGGTTTAGGGTTTAGGGTTTAGGGTTTAGGGACTGTAGGGGCTTAAATAATCACCTACACTATTTTGGGGTTCCTTATTGTGATTATAGCATAATGGGCCCCAAAACCCTATTCTAATTATTAAGGCCCCGAGATTAGGTGCAACACTAGGACTGCACTTCAGAGATCTGCTGCAGAAGAAGAAGAAGGGCACCAGTAATGACAAGAGGGGCAGGAGTTTAACAATGACAGTAACCATGATAATTTGACTGAATAGCGGCAACCATAGCGATGACAGTCACAACGACTGCTGCAGGGAAAAGGCGAGTACCAGTGACATCAACAGCACCACTTTGTCTGATGATGCGAACTCTAAAGCCTAAACTGCCTCAAACCGTAACTAAAGTACCAAAACCCCAAATCGTGAAAGGAAGGGTTATACAGTTATAGTGATGGTAGTGGGAACTACCAGGCCGTTGTCCTCTAAACCCTGAGTCCCGAACCCTAACAAACCCTAGCCTACTATCCTTAACCCTAAGCCGCCAAAAAGATGAGCCTGCCGTGACAGACCATCGAGATCCGAAACTTCCTTGGTGAGAAGGTGGTGCGAACTGCGCGGAGCTGAGTGTCTCAATGAGGCTCAGGGTTTGGAGTTTGGGATTTAGGGTTGAGGCAGATATGGGGGTTTCCGGACATAGGGGACCCTAATATAGTACCTTAAATAGTAGGATCAAGGACCCCAAAATAAGGTACCCCTTAAATTTTTGCAACTCCCATATGCTCCTCATCCTAAACCCTAAACCCTAAAGGCTTAGGCAGACGTGCTCCTGAGAATTCGCCACTCCTTCACAGCGGCCGGGCGTAGGATCTTGTCCTCTCGAGTCGAAGCTGCCAGTGGTTCAGGGATTAGGGTGGCTGCCTTCCACTGTAGGGGCTTAAATAATTACCTATACTATTTTTGGGGGCTCCTTATTATAATTATAGTATACTGGGCCCCGGAACCCTATTCTAATTATTAAGCCCCCTACATTATGAGGAGTGGCGTTCCACCGTGGAAGGTTTGACGCTTTATCTGATGCGGCCCCCAGGATGCTGAGCAGTTCACAGCGTGTCATCGTACTGCAGGTGCACATGCTGCCGGGCGTGACGGTAGAGAAGAGCGCGTCCACGAAGGAGCAAGCAATATATGGGTCTGGAGATTTTGTAGAGGATTCTGGTTTCCTTCCAGTCACCTTCAAGTTATGGGGCAGAAAAGGTACTAGTACAACATGCCCCAAAAGCCGAGTCTAATCATTGAGGCCCCTGTAAGGGAGCTTAAGGCCTACGGCCCAAAGACCAAGCTCCAAAGTGAAACTCTATGTAACCCTGCACAGCCCTCAGAGGGGCCGTTGCTGCGCTGGATGAGGAGGTCTGGGCCCCCTGAAACCTAGATCCCATAATGCGTTGGCCTGCGTAATTACCAAATTTATTCTTTATACAGGTTCCCTACTGCAGTTAGATATTATAACATGCCACAACCATACCCGACGGGCTCAAATGGGGTCGAAGTTTCGTTTTTTGAGGGGCAGGATGCGAAACGCTCGTCTTCGTCGTCAAGATGCAGTGGAAGGGTCTTGCTCAGGCACCCAGAGACTCCAATATCCCTTAGTTAAGGAATATTCCTTAAGCCTTAAATCATATTAAGGATCCTATTATAATTATACCTTAAATCATATTAAGGATTCTATTATGATTTAAGGAATATTCCTTAAACTAAGGTATATTTGGAGTCTCTGGGTACGCTTGTTTTCACAGCCTTACCGGGTTCCCAAGGAGATGCCCTGACATAACTTTAGAACCCTAAACCCTAAACCCTAAACCCTAAACCCTAAACCCTAAACCCTAAACCCTAAACCCTGCCCGGCTTTAGCCGAGCTGCGGCCTAAAGTCCCCTGGAGCTCCGTAAGGTTCGATTCCCCTCAATTTCTCAATATTCCGGGTTAGGGTTTAGGGTTTAGGGTTTAGGGTTTAGGGTTTAGGGTTTAGGGTTTAGGGTTTAGGGATTAGGGCCCGAAAAGTCCTTCAACCCTAAACCCATCGCGCCCTAAGCCCCAAAAAGCCCAAAACCCCTACATCCTGAGCTACCCAAACGCTGAAACCCACACTCCTGAACCAGAAGCCCCGCCCAAGGCCCCCGCAAACCCCAGGTAGCCCTGAACCCTAAACCCCTAACCCTAAACCCTAATCTCCAGGTAGCCCTAAACCCTAAACCCTAAACCCTAAACCCTAAACCCTAAACTTCGGGGACCCCTAAACCCTAAACCCAAAACCCCAAAACCCTGAACCGCGGCTCTGACCAGGATGAGCTGGTCGTCTGCGGTGCCGACATTGAGCTCACGGGCCAGTCTGCGGCGCTGATCCACCAGACGGGGCCTCAGAGGTTTTGTAGCGGCCTTAATGCTTAGAATAGGGTTCCTTTAAAGGGTTCCCTTAAAGGGTTACTCTAGGGGTTATAAGGGTTTTGCTAGGGTTCCTTTACAGGGTTCCTTAAAGGGTTACTATAGGGGTTAAAAGGATTTTGTTCGCTCGTCTCAGCTCTTTCTTTGTCCAAGTCCCAGTATCCACTTATAGACCCGTTAGAAGTTAGTATAGGGGCCTCAATAACTAAAAATACTATTTTGGGGGTTCCTTATAATAATAAGTATTACTATAGTGTAGTGTCATATATCGCAAAACCCTTTCTAATTATTGAGGCCCCCTACAGTACAAGTATACCAATGTTTCGCAAAACCCGTGTCAACCCATTAAGCGCCCATTCTGCCGTCCGTCTCCGCAGCATCCAAATTAACCTGCCATGCAGGTTCAGAGTTTAGGGTTTAGGCTTTCGGGTTTAGGTGTGAATTGGGAAAAGTTCCATTTTTGTACAGCACTGTGGGCTATTAGGGGCCATAGTTGGCCATGACAATTAGAATAGGGTCCTGAGGTATAGTATACCCTGAACCCTAAACACCAAAACCGCTAAACGCTCAACCCTTAAACCACTAAACCCCAAACCCTAAACCCTAAAAGCCTTAAGCCCTAAATCCTTAACCCTTTAACCACCAAACTCCAAACCCCAAATCTAAAGCCTAAACCCTAAACCCTAAACCCTTCGGGCACTCTCGGGGGGGCTCGCAGTCAGGTCCTGCCTCTGCAAGAAGAAGGATATCCGAAAGTTCTTGGACGGAATCTACGTCAGCTCCCATGGCGTCAAGGAGGCGCCTTTAGTAGGATGTGTGTTGGGTTTCGGGCTTGGGGTTTTAGGGTTCTTAGGGATCTTAGGATTGGTAGGGCTGTTAAGTAAGGGTTAGAGTTTAGGATCTTGGGCTTTTTTAAAGGAGCTATACATAGAAGGCCATAATAAGGAACTCTAAGAAGGGTAGGTCTTTCGGCTACAGGCAATCTGGGGTTGAAGCTTTCGGGGTTTCGGGCGGCTGGGCTGAACCCTAAACCCTAAACCCTAAACCTTAAACCCTATAACCCTAAACCCTATAACCCTAAACCCTATAACCCTAAACCCTAAACCCTAAACGGGGCTGGGCTGTGTTGGGTTGCTGGGCTTCTCTGTAATGCTGCAGCTCCGAAAGGTCCGAACCCTACAGCTTTGCCCCAGAGCAAGGAGCCCTTGGCCTCGCGTGTTTGTAGCAGCAGCCCCCATTCAGGTCCTTCCCAAGACTCCAATATCCCTTGATTAAGGAATATACCTTAAATCATATTAAGGATCCTACTATAATTTAAGGTATATACCCTTAATTAAGGGATATTGGAGTCCCTAGGTTGAGAGATGGAGAAGCGTAACAACTCTTCGGTTTAGGGGCGTAGGGCCCAGGGCTACCCTGTCGAAAGGTGTCTCTCGCTAAGCTTGATTGAGCCTTGCGGTTTAGGGTTTAGGGTTTAGGGTTTAGGGTTTAGGGTTTAGGGTTTAGGGTTTAGAAGCTAATGCTGCGCCGAAATGCAGCGCCCTGCCAGGATTGAGATGTCCCCGGGATGTCCTGACAGCTGCCGATGCGTGGTTTGCGAAGTGGTCGAAAAAAGTTGAGGAGATCATGACATGACTCCGAACCCTAAGCCCTATCTTGAAGCTTCGATGCTGTTGCAGGGACTCGCCGTGGTAAAGGGCTTCCTTGTGTCTCATTTGTGAAAGCCTGTGGCTGGTATAGGCCGAATCTGGGTCCTTGTTGGCTACAATTTTACATCTCATTAAAATAAAACCCAATAAGGATTAAAATTGATCATTTTGAATATAGCCCCAACAGGGAACCAGGAATACTGAAATGGGAGGATGAGGAATCTGTTCCTTAGGGCTCGCTCCCAAGCAACAGTCCCCTCATCTCATGTTCCGAAGCCATACTCCCAAAACCCTATTTTCTGTAGGACCCCCTATAAATTCCATACGAGGGTTTGTAATAAGAACCTACAGAAAAGTAGGGTTGGGTAGTTTAAGGTAGTATGTTGACTCTGCATGTACGATGCTCCACGACGTTTGTTTGCGCCTAGACTGCTGGCGCGAATGCGGAACATTGCGATAGCTCAAGTCAAGCTACCGGTACATCAAAGCTTGCACTCATGTCCGAAATCCTTCGTTGTGGCATTCCCGACAGCAGAATCAACATCCAACGCCGGCCCGTTTCGCATGACCAACCAACATCCGAGAGCGGTCCTCAGATAATGGCCTGTGCTTTTGGACGTCTCGTCCCCATCAGTTTTGTTCGCGCTCTGGCCTTATTGCTCCTCCACCGGCTGGCCCGTGCCAGCGCCGCCGCCTTTACGCTTGCCCCGGGTTCCACTCCCTCCAGAAGCATCTTCCCAGCGAAAGAGTGAGTGGACGACAGCACAACTTGCTGATGTCAGCCTGCAGGAGGATCGATGTCGCTGGTGTTTGGGGTTCCGGTGGCTTGCCTTCGCTGTCGGTGTGTCGCACTGGTCACCTTCGAATAGCTGTGGCTTCGGCTTCCGTGAGTTTTGGCGCTGACTCGTGCCGCTGTGGCGAGATACGCGTGTGTAGCTGAACAACGCGCGCCTAGAATGCCGCCGGCGAGGAGGCAGCACGAGTGTACGTACACAAGTGGAACCGTCAGTCTATTTTCTGCAACAAACTATGTTTTGGGCAGATTAGCTCTTGAGGCTTGAAATATTGCAGAATGAAACGTCCCACATAGGGTTCTGCCATCAACATCCTTTTTGAGGAACGTGCTTATCGGTATCGGTGGATATTCGTTTCAACCCATCAGGATCTTCCGAATTGAGCTCTCGGTGGTATTTCGCCACAAGGTTCGACTTTGTAGGCTCCAGCGGAATCAGGGTATGCGGATGCCTGGTTTTCGATTCCGATTTTGACATTTCGATGAAATGCCGCAAGAACCGCTGTGTTGCTCGAATCTTCAGTGTCGGAAATTCTTTTACTGTACAAGTTATTTTCTGCTGTGAAGCGCAAGGGTTTTCCAGTCTTCCCGATGGGGCTTCGTGCCCCCCTGAGCGAAACAAGGTCCCATCATCTCTTGTAGCCTTCCGGCCTGGATGCACACGGTGGCCTGACGTGCAGACCAGATAATTGGATCCATGAGTGTGCCAGAAGTACTGCTCAGGTCCTAGGAGATGGAAACGTCCCAGTGACTTCTGCGATGTTCGTAGGACATGCTGAGCAGCACCGGATAACGCGACAAATCCCGCCAGGTCTCTGAGGGCAACGAACAGCCACATGGATTATGCAGAATGCAGACCCAGAGGTGTTGCAAGAGCCTTACAGGCCAGGTCAGATGCACAGGTCCGAGCATATCAAGTAGCGTATCATGACGGAGCGTATCATGACGTGCAGACCACATAATGATAACCTCACATGCTCAAACGTGCGGCTTAGTCCCAAGGAGATGGACACGTCCCACGTTGGATTCAGCAAAATGCCGCAAGACATGCAGGGACTCTTGGTAGACAGCCGTGGAATCCCGAGGATGCTGCTCAGAAACTCTGTTATTGCAGAATCAGGTGCCGCACGTGCTTCCGTACTTCGATTTGCACATTGCTTGGGTCTACGTGCGACCCTGCAATCCTGTAACAAATTCGGTCAAGGCTTCGTGGGACTGTCGTGGAATCCCCAGGATGCTGCTCAAGGGGTGCCTCACATGCGTCCGTACTTCGAGTTGCACATTGCTTGGGGCTACGTGCGACCTCGCATCCTGTAATAAGTTGCAAGACGGTAAAGGCAGCCTGAGACTGCCGTGGAATCCCCTCCGGCCAGAGGCTGCTCAGCGGCTTTTTATTAAAGAAAGGGGTGCCCCACGTGCCTCCGTGCATGGCCTGGTGTGCGGTGCTTTCACGCTGCCTGTTTTGCTGGGTTTTCAGCTTCACAGGCACAATACTCCAAATAATGGTTGAACATGCACAGCAGTCAATGCGAGAAAGCACGCAGGCCGCATCACCAGTTTTATCACATGTATCTTGGAATCGCTGGTGGTCTGTTTACCTGCATTTTCTGGCCTCACGAATCGTGACATCAATCTCGAAACCTATTCGGTCTTTCAAACTTTGAAGCCCAGATCGGCACTTTACCATCGTTCCGACGCTTCGGAACGGTACCGGACGGTTTGGGGCTGACGGGGATGAAACTTGCCTGATGGTTCCAGAGCCCCTGTTGGTGCTCAAGGCACTAGTTGCTCTCTGCGTGCCTCGAGGGAGGCATTGGGTGTGTGCACAGCAAACCGGGGGTTGACTTTGCAAACCCAGCTCGGGCTCAGAGAGGTTGAAAAAGCCGAATTAGTGCGAAGTGAGAGCATGCTAACGGCATTCTTGGTCTGATGGTTCCAGAGCCCCTGTTGGCGCTCACGTACAAACAACCTGCCGGGCCGGGCATTTTTTGCACGGACTTTTCAAACTGCCCAACGAAAGGTGCTCCAGCCGCGGTCGCAGCTGATTGCGCTACTAACAGACTACGAGCCTCGCGTCAGGGCCGCAGCGGCAGGCGGCCAGCGGTGGGCCGTCGCAGGTTTCTGGCTGCAGAAGGTGCCAAGGACCTCCCAACGCCACGCTGGCGACGGCGCTGCACCGCAACGGACCACATGCCCCACCAGCGCCTCGCCCAACCGGCAGATGCCACGGCGCGGAACGCGTGTGGGGATGGGTGAGCTTTCAGCATGCTTTCAGCCGGACCAGGTCCCTCACGAGAGTGCATGCCTGGTCGTTCCAGCGCCCGCCCACCTCCGAACCCAACACGACGAGCTTTTGTGGCCCGCCGCGGGACAGCTCCGGGTAGGTTGCGAGCTTCCGGCGCTCGGCCACTCTCAGTGCGGTGCCGTCGACCACTGCTGCGCATGGTTGCGGGTGTCCCGTTCGCGTCAAGGGAGACACGAGCGTGGCATCGCAACACAAGGCTTCGCCGCTGCGTGTCGCCCCGTACACGACGAGGTCAAGCCGGCGCTTGTTTTCCGCTGTTACGCCGGCCGCGGTGGTGTGGGCTGTGCCCTGAGCATCCCATATTGATTAC